GGCAAAAATAAAATGATTATTTTAAAAAAAATTATTAAGGGTAAGTTTTTCAGTTGGACTGGCATTAAAACCAATGCATCTCTATAAAAATACTTTTACTTCCACTTTGAGCGAGAGGCGTGAGGAAGAAAACTTGACAGCAGTCTAGATAGCAGTTAGGAGGTGTTAACTAGAGTTTTGTTTAGTGCAGGTTTCTGTCAAATATGGTATTTTTATACAATTTGACAAAGAGGCTCTTCTCCTCTATCACACTTGTGCCCAATACACTGACATGTGCGCTAGAACACCTGCTGACACGGTGTATTAATACATGCATGCCCAAGCATATGGCATTTTGTGGTTTTCAGAGATATAAATAGTATTATCTTACTGTGCCTGGACATAGGCATACAGTGTCTAGACACAGCCGGCCGACATTACATGGGCCCGGTCGCGGTCTTAAAGGACCGCGGCACCAGACCGGGCCTATGTTCATCAGTAATGTTTCCACAGTACTATAATCACATTTTGGGAACCGCTGCCCTAGACACAGCTGGGTAATCTCTCTAAATCCTTGACTGGTAGTTGAGAACTGGTTTGGAAACTACTGGAATAGAGCCACCGTAGAACTATCTTTTAGGGCTGGCTGATTATTATTATTATTTAAATAACGCCATCAGATTCCGTAGCGCTGTACAATGGGTGGACTAACAGACATGTATTTGTAACCAGACAACTGGACATACAGGAACAGAGAGGTGGAGGGCCCTGCTCAATGAGCTTACATTCTAGAGGGAGTGGGGTATAGTGACACAAAGGGTAAAAGTAGGGGTACGAAGCAGGTTGTTAGAAAAGTATTCACTGAGGGCTTAGTAGGTAATTTTTGACAGTTGCAGGAGAGGAGTCATGGGGGTGGGGGATAAAAACCTGCTAACAGTTTAATCGAAGAAGTGAGTTTTCAATGATTTTTTGAATGAGTGGAGACTGGGTGAAATTCTTACGGAGAAAGGAAGGGAGTTCCACAGAAGAGGTGCAGCCCTGGAGAAATCTTGGAGGCGAGCATTAGAGGTAGGAGTACGGACAGAGGATAGGCGTAGGTCTTTGGCAGAGCGTAGGGGTCTCGACGGGAATACTTGTGTATTAGGGAGGATAGATATGTTGGAGCAGCAAAACGTAGGGACTTGTAAGCAAGCACCATAATTTTAAATTGAGCCCTATATCTAACTGGAAGCCAATGCAGGGACTGATAGAGTGGGGAGGCGTGGGAGGTGCGAGCGGACAGGAAAATGAGCCACGCCGCCGCATTCATTATAGATTGAGGTGGTGCAATCTGGGAACATGTAAGACCACTGAGAAGGGTATTGCACTAGTCAAGGCGAGAGAGAACAAGAGCATGGACCAGCACCTTAGCCGCATCCAGGGTAAAATAGGGGCGGATGCGTGCTATGTTTTTGAGATGTAAGCGACAGGATTTGGCGATTGATTGGATATGAGGGGTGAGGGAGAGGTTGGAATCAAAAAGAACACCCAGGCAGCGAATCTGCGAGGTAGAGGTGATGGTAGCGCCGTTGACTTGAAGGGAGACAGACACGGGAGTTGTAATACTTGAGGGAGGAAAGATCAGAAGTTCTGTTGTTTTAAATATTTTTATTGTCATCTCAAGATAAACGCGGATATCAAACATATAATCGTTGAAGCAAATAATCGCCTTCACAGAGGCGTGCTTAAGGAGACCGTAAATAACTTGAGGGCTAACATTGGACAGATTGATCAAAGTAACATATGGTTGCCTGCACAAAGGCATAACAGTCGGAGTGATCACGCAATGACCGAAATCAAGTTTGAATGGGCTTCACAAAGTTAGATATGTCAAAGGCCTGATAGGCATATGTTGATTGGGCCTGATAGGCCGGTGTGGCCATGTGCCTATGTCTTATGTTAAGTTCAAGTAGGTATTCCTAATGTGCCTAGCGTGCGGTGTGAGCGCCGCCTTAAGTGATCTGGGTGTAATTAAGAGTCCTCGTATCAGCTGTTGTAGGAGTTGCGTCCATTCAGTTGGGTACCCATGCAAAAAAGTTTAGTGTGATATGTATCCTGTCTGTATCTATTGAGTAGGCAACAATCTACGACAGTGTACTTTAGCCCTTTGAAGCACTGTGACATTAACCTCACATACAGTTTTAAACAGAATTAAAAATAGAAATATGCAAAAACAAACCAATAATGCATAACTTGTACTGTCCATGTTCAGCATGAAGGGCTTCGTTAGGCTCAAATAACCGCCTAAAAGTATGGTGCGGTAAACATATATGGCAGAAATAGTATATTAGTCAGGCATCGTGAGGCAATGATACATCATATCTTTAACATTATAGCAGCGTCTAGTTAATTGCGAAATAGGCATGCCATGAATCAAGTGTATTGATATTAGAAATGATTATTTTAGCAACATGGTATATCCTGATCTGCATCTGTGAAACAATATTATGTGAGTCTCTCCACTGGAGATGGCGTTGTAATGCCTGGTGAGAAGAAATGTCCAGCGTGGGCTTAATGGCCTCCTATGAGGTATTTAAGCGGGCTTCCCTCTACGTGGCCTTTTGCAGGCTTATGCCAAGGGTGCATCTTTATGCCAAGCTGGTTGTTTATTGCAGGGTCTCTCCAGCTCCCCTGGTGTAACCAATCCCCTCTGTTCCCCTCCTGGCCTGCTCCGGCCGGCCGGCCGGCTTAGGGTTCTACAGTGCTGTGGGCACTCAGGGACATCAATAGTCCGGCAGACCCCCCCCGGAAAGTCCTCGGGCCCCCGTCCCCTATCCTCCCCAACCCCTGCAATTCCCCCTTGGAGCTCCAGTCTCGGTAGGCCTCACCTTTTTCGTCACCTCAGTGGGCCCTGGCGACCCAGCGTGGCTCCCGGTGACTTGCGCGTTCCGCGGCCATGTTAGCTCCACGTGGGAAAGGGCTCCGCCATGTGTGGGCCTTCTGCCTCCAGTCCCCGGACATCGGCTTGTGGGCCGGGATCAACCCCGCCGGCCCGAGGGGGGGGGGAGCGGGGCCGGGTCCAGACTCCCCTCTCTCCCTCTGCTATCTCGTCTCGCGGCTCCTGCCGTCGCCATGTGTGTGTAGGCCTCATGGGATCATTATGCTCCAGTTGTGCGAGCTGCTCGGTGTCGGCTTGGCAGGTGTCCCTGCATTTTTCTCCTGTGTCGCTCCCTGCTTGATGTTTGTGTCTGCCTCGGCTCTAGGTGAGCTTTTAGTTCAGTATTTCGGTGTATTTAGGCGGCCCAGAGCCGGAGCTAGCATGGATGGCTGCCGCTCGGCTCAGCGGCCCAGCCCCGCCCCCAGAAGTTCTGTTTTGGACAGGTTGAGTTTATGGAAGTGAGCAGCCATCCAGTTGGAAATCGAAGAGAGGCAGTCAGAGACACGAGTCAAGATGAGCAGAGAGAGATCAGGAGAGGACAGGTAGATTTGCGTGTCATCCGCATTGAAATGATAACGGAATGTTACACGTGTCCAACAAAACAAAAAACTTGCTCTTGAGATTGACAGATTTTCTTACAGAAACCCTGCACAGACAGGTCAAACTAACATGGTGCTTTGAGTTCCATTTTAAGTCTGCAATCAATATGTATATGTGAATATTCTAAATGCTTTATTTTTAAATATAATAAATATCAGACTTTTAGACAAAAGTGTGTTGAATCACTTCAAAGATAATTTTTAAACAGCATCACAGAGTACGCTCTAAATGAGAAGCTTTCATTAAGAGCAACAAACACACATTGATGAGTAATTTAATGAATGCAAAATACTCAGTTGCATGGTTTTGCTGCTAGAATTTCCCTGATCGTGCAGAGACTTGACTACATTAACTCCCACACTTCTAAGTTTAGATATAACAAATTATATGTAGGCTGTGGAGCTGTAAATTGGCTTGTGATGTTCAAACAAATAATCAATCCTTGTGACATGTTTACAATTAAAAGAATGGTGCCTAATAGGCTTTATTTAAATTAACACTTTCCCGGCAAATGATGTGCCAGAACAGTCACAAAAAAGTCAGTCTCTGCATATGGATAGCTCTGAGACTGGAGCCATTATTATCACCCATTTACGAGCGTTTTCCACCATGCAAATGCATGTTGGAAATACTAAGAGGCACATATAGCCATGTGTGCCTGTTTGTCAGCATTCCTGCTCAATCACAGCAATAGTAATTAAGAGGTTTACTCTGGCCAAGTGCTCCCTTCCCATTAAAAACAAACAAACAGTTCAGTAACAAAAGGGGCAGTTCATATTTTAAAAGCTTCAATTCTCCATTGTCATTTGGTGAATGGGGGGGAGCACTTGGTTACCTTCAAATAAGAACACTTTAATAACTTTGTCCGGAATTTCCTCATCACTTGTCCAGACCACACACCTGCATGGAGCAGCACATGTATGCCATAGGCAGAGGCGTAACTAGAAACCACGGGGCCCCAATGTGAAAATTGCCTTGGGGCCCCCCCATACAGCTACCTCCTACCCCACATGCAGACACATACATACAGACACATGTAGAAACACACACATACATACACTCATATACACACACTCACAGACACACACACATACACTTTCAGACACACATACATACACACACTTACAGACACACATATATACACACAAATTAATATTAAATGTCCTCCCTACCTGGAGAGCTGGATGGGATCTGTCCCTGGGGTCCAGTGAGGCTTCAGTGCAGCGGGCGGAAGAGTTCCTGTCAGAAACGGCGAGGGAGCTGTGTTCCCTCTGCTCTGCTCTCTCACAGGCTGTCTACTGATGCCGGGAGCCGGAATGTGACGTCACATTCAGGCTCCCGGAATCAGCACACGGCGCGCGAGGGAGCAGAGCTGAGAGAACACAGCTCCCTCGCCATGTCTGACAGGAACTCTGCCGCCCGCGCGGGGGTCCATTAGGTGGCCAGTGGGCCACCTTTTGGGCCCACCTATGACAAGGGGAACACGGAGGGGGCGGCGTTTAGACGGCCCAAGGTCGCAGGGGTTGTGGCTGCGGCCGGGCACCCCGCAGTGAGAGACCCGGTCGCAGCTGCGACCCCTGCGACCGTGGTAGGTACGCCACTTGGCATAGGATCAGTGTGGTATGCCGTGTTTCCTCGCCATAAGGGGAGCTAGTGCCTCCTGTTTATTGATCCTCTTTCTCCACTTGGCAGGACCCCGTATCCGTAGGGACTCTTGCGCTTGGAGCACCCCTTGAGTGTATGAACAGCTGGGTGGGTGTAGCTCCACCTGGGTTCCAAGCCCAGAGGATGAACAGTGAGCTGGAGCGGCTGCTTCAGCTTGCAGTGGGACAGGCAAGACATGAGAGCGAGAGCAGCAGGATATTCGGGCCCAGAACTTTCGGCACAGCTGATCAAATTTGACCTCAAAGCTCTCTACCCAGTTCAGATACTCTAGGCCTGCTGGATTTGGCGGGTGCTGAGGCACAGCAGCCATCTTTGCTTGGCCACGCAGTCACAAGGACGGCAGGTATGATGTCTGCTACTGCAATGGAGTTAGGTGTACTGTGGAGACTGAGATGTCCCCCTAGTTCCAGAGGAGGGGGTGACGTGGCTCAGGAGATTCTCTTCGGGCCGCGTGGCTCCAGGCGGAGATCAGCCATTTCTGATAGGCCGCAGAACCAGACAGTAGAGGTGTTATCCAACACGATTTCACAGGACTGTTACTGTCCATGTCGGTAGAGCAAAAGATTGTGCTTGAATAGGCACTGTTTTCAGGCAGATTTAAGTTGTGTAGCACAAGTTAAAGCTGAAATTGTCAGGAGCTTCTAAGATGTGCATCCGGCCATTTTGAGAGTGGAGCCCCGCCCTGCTGTCTCCCCTTATTATTTTTATATAGCACCAACAAATTGTGTAGTGCTTTACAACAGGTGGACAAAGAAACATGTAATTGTAACCAGACAAGTTGGACACACAGTCACAAAGGCACTGGGGTAAAGTGTCACAAAAGGGAAGGATGTCCTTTACTCAAATGATTGTGAATAATAGAAAGGCAGGAATACTGTCCACCCTCACTAATATCTTCAACTATCACCAGTGGCGTACATACCGGGGTCACGGCTTCGATCGGGCCCGGCACACCAGGGGGCCCGGCCGCCCTGCGACCCGGTATGTACCCACTGTGGCCAGCCTCTTCTCCAGCCGCCCTGCGACCCGGTATGAACCCACTGTGGCCAGCCGCTTCTCCTGCGGGGGCCCAGGAGCCGGCCACCTCAGGGCACCCCGGCGGGCAGGCTGGCGCGTGAGGGAGCACTCTCCCCTGTGTGCTCCCTCTTCAGCTCCTTCGTGCACCACACTGATACCGGACCGGAAGATGATGTCATCTTCCGGCTCCGGCGTCAGTACGCAGCGTGAGGGAGCTGAAGAGGGAGCACACAGAGGAGAGTGCTTCCTCTCGCGCCCGCCGTGTGACACCACTGGACCCCAGGGAATCCCCTCGGCACTCCCAAAGGTAGGGAGGCTGGGGGTATTACATTTTTTTTTTAAAACGTGTGTGTGTGTGTGTGTGTGTGTTAGAGTGTGTGTTAGTTTGTGTGCATCTGTTAGTGAGTGTGTGTTTTGTGAGTGTGTATGTCTGTTAGCTAGTGTGTATGTCTTAAGCACTTACCTTTCTCCAGCGCTGGGAATCTCTCCGCCCCGATCCGCCTCTCAGCTCCGAATGCGCATGCGTGGCAAGAGCTGTGCGCGCATTCAAACCGCCCATAGGAAAGTATTACTCAATGCTTTCCTATGGACGTTCAGCGTCTTCTCACTGTGATTTTTACATTGAGAATCGCAGAAGCTCCTCTAGCGGCTGTCAATGAGACAGCCACGAGAGGCTGGATTAACCCTCAGTGAAAAGTTTTCAGCTGCAGGGTTAAAACTAGAGGGACCTGGCACCCAGACCACTTCATTGAGCTGATGTGATCTGGGTGTCTGTAGTGGTCCTTTAAGTGTATGTGTATCTGCATGCACTGGCGTACATACAGCGGTTGCAGCCCTGCGACCAGGTGCCGCCGCCATGTGTTGCGGCCCCAGCCCACGCAGAGTAAGCGCGCGGGGGGAGGGGGACGTTGGAATTCCCTCCTCCCCCTAAAAATAACCACTTGATTTTAAGAGCATGAGTAAGGGCAAGTCCCTCCTACCGAAGCAGTATAAATTGATGGCCTGCTCAGCTGACTTATAGGCCTAAAATTAAAATTACAAATTGCTAAATCTAAAATGGTGAGATACCAAATTCGGCCGGGTAATATTACCAAAAACAAAGTGGAAAAATAAGGAACTTTTCCACTGTAGAATAAAACCGGTTCACAGAATTCACAGCAAAGATATATCAAAAACTTTAAGAAAATGGTTTGGCGAAACACGCCTCTTTTATTATTTTTGTATAAATTTATATTTAATAAAAGTAGTATACTTCATACCTACCTTGGACCTGCCTGTTCTTAGAAGATTTTATTAAAACTACTCCCACTTCGAATTCTTTGGTGGGTGTGACGGACCCTCCGTCAATCAATGCTCCTAGTGCTTACCAAGTACCATCAGCACCGCACCAGACACCATAAGCACTGCAGATCCCACAAACTGCCGCAGCCTGGCTGGGAACTCGCCATCCTCTACCCACCCTGCACCTACGACAAGGCTCCAGGTCCCAGTGGGTGAACCTCTCCTCCAAGAGAGAGTAGCAGTGACAAGCTCTTAAAAGAGCATAGTGATTATAGCCCAGGGGAGTATACAGAGTATAGCAATCCCCCAGTGTAGATGCAGCCTTTTCCCCCACACATGAGACGAGGCTCTATGCTAAGGGTAAAACAGGAACTCAGCAGATCTGAGAGTTTATTGTCTTTTATACAGTTTTTCCTACAAGGTTACCACCCATGTGGACCTTGTGGAGCACAGGACACAAAGTCACAAAGCCAATCAAAACAGTATTGAACAGTTAGACACTTCCAGATAATGTACGCAAACCCTCCCTTCTGCTTATGATACAATTAACAAAGACAATGGACTAACTCATTAACTCTAAGCAGAAAAAACATACACTTTTACAAACCCCCAAAAGTACCTCAAAATACAACATATCCCCCCGATTTTCCTAGAAGTCTTATTTTTGCCCCACCGTGCACATGGTCCCATGCTCAAAACAGTTCCATACACTTGACGACAAAACACTGCTGGACAATTTAAGATGGCCTCCGCCACATGTTGGAATCTGTTCCAGCTAAAAGTCCAAGGGGCATTGTGCCAAGTCCTAATATGCACAATTAGTGTTTCTAAAGAGCAATACATCCCAGGGGCCATAGTCACAGGGTAAGAGGCTGGCAAGCAGGCCTCTCCAAAAACCAGTAGCGAGGTTACTTTCACCACAGTGGGGAACATACCACTTAAGTTATAAGGACTGAACAAAACCTAGGTTTGATCTCCTTTTGTGAGTATCCCTTTTATTACTTTTATCAGAGAGCACTATATTTTATCTTTTTTTATATTGCCCTCATTGGTTTGATGCTTCTGCACGTTTAAGTAAAGACTAGAGTCCTATTCGCTCCTCTTGGGACAACATCCAGATACACTGTATACTGCATCAAGATCTCATCGGACCAAGATCAGAGAAAATATATCATTAAAGGGACACGATAGACACCCAGACCACTTCAGTTCATTGAAGTGGTCTGGGTGCAGTGTCCCTTTTGCACTTAGTGCTACAATGTTTACATTGCAGCACTAAGTCTGCCTCCAATGGCTGACAGGCACTGGAGGCTCTTCCTGCATAGACCTTTGGTCCAGTAACTGACGCTGAACGTCCTCACACTCTGTACAAGGACATCCAATGTCAGAATTTTTCGGAGGGGGCGGAACACTGATCGGGGCAGGGAGGAGTGATAGTGCCAGGAATACAGCTCTGTATTCCTGGCACTATAGTATCCCATTAAGGCAGGGATAATACTGCCCAGGTTTTAATATTTGGCGCTGATCAGAAGTTCCAAAAAACAGTACGTGCATTTTTTTACTTACCGCACCAATTTCAATAGCATACTACACTATATTGTGTTTTCTTTTCTTATTTGCGCAGTTGAGTGTCCGTTTAACAGTGTGAAAACAGTAAATATCTCAGGGTCTTTAATTTATTTTATTTCTTTTAGTATGAAGTTTGGTGACTAATGTTACACTTAGATATCCAATGTGTCAACATTTTCAAAAGTTCAACTTCGAAATTGGAATGTTTAAAAAGTCTTTTGGTATCAGACATAAGTAAAATCACCTTTTTAACCCTGGCAGCAAGGGTCCGGTCAACTAAATAGCCATTAGGGCACTATAGCATAAGAAACGTACATTTGTATTACTAACTCTATCGTGTTCCTTTAAGACAGATTTACCAGGGTAAAGTTTGCAGTGGCGGAAAGTATAACACATACTTTCCTGCAGAAGTACTGCACCGCATAAACGATTCGATCCCAGAAGAGTGCTGGTGCTGTGGCAGGGGCCTTCTCACATTCTTCATATACTGGCCTTCATATATGGTGGCCATGTCCAGTGATCACACCTTTTTGGGCTGTAGTGAATACTAAATTGTGGTAGATTACGGGATCCAACCTTGCTCCTAACACCACACCGGCAATACCATGGCAACATTCAAAAATATTTGACCATGCACCTGCTCACAGCCACAAAGTCCCTGATTCCAACATACTGGAAGCAGACGGGTGCACCTAACTTCCAGCAATGGGTCGTCAGGCTCGAAAAGATACATGGTATAGAAAGCCTGATTGGGGACCTCGGGGCTGCTCTGATTTAGGATACACCCTACCTTACAGACTCTCACCATTTGCTCATTACTAGTAACCGTGGCTCTGACCTCACATACACCTGGGACCTGCTTTCTACCAATTACTCGGGCAAACTTGAATAAAAGCCCCCCTCACAAAGTTCATAAGTCCCCCTCCTTTTTTCTCTTCTCCCTCCCCCCTATCGCCCGCTTGCTTCTATCCACTACACCAACCTACCCATACTGTCGTATGATTCTCTTGAAACTTACCTAGCATGGACAGTTCATGTCCTATAATTGAAGAACTGGCCAAGCAAACCTTCAAAAAGCAAGATGGAGCCCTCCAGGAGCCACGGCCCCCTCACTACGTCTATCCAAAAAAAAAAAAAAAAGGTTAATAGCTTTCACCAATTCTGCCAAGGGAAGGCCGAGCTCTGCTACCTGACCGGTATCTCTCTCAAGGACAGGCAAATTCTGGGAGCTCAGGGTGGAGTTGCCCTTTATAAGGCTAGGAGGGGAGGAGACTGCATTTTGTTGTTTTAATCTTTTCAATGCTACCTGTCCTGTGAGAATGGGCAACTACATTCCATTTGTTATGACTGCCGCTTGGACGTTTGGAAAATGTTTTTATAATACTTGATGTGCTCTCAAGTATTGGTGTTGGTGTCCCAGGCCTCGATACACTGGTGTTCCGGGGTGGCTATGCGGTCCTGGACCAGGCAATTATACTCTATTTTGCATTTGCCTGTAAGCTGCAATCAAGTTTAAGTATTTTGACCATGCTGGTGATACCGCAATTGAATGCTAATTGAATTGTAAGATGTTTTCATCTCATCCAGACAATCTGTACACCTTCTGACAAAACTTACAAATAAAAAACAAACATACATTTATATGCACCACTTCAGTTTTAAGGGTAACACCTTTCCATGATGCTCTGTGGGTGCTCATGTGCATTTGGGACACATAGAAAAAATGCCGTACTAGTGTGTGCACCCTTAAGCATTCCTTCCACAGTGCCTTGTGCAAGAACACGACACTTAGAACCAGACATTCAATGTAAATACATTTTGAAAAAAATGCTTTAGAATAAAAAAAAAAAAAAAAAGTGCCACCATTATCTAACTTTTGATTAAAGTGACACTATAGCCACCCAGACCCCTCAGGTTTTAACCCTTCACATGTACCATAACAGTTTCAGAGAAACTGCTATGTTTACATTTGGGGTTAATCCAGCCTCTAGTGGCTGTCTTCCGGACAGCCACTAGAGGCGCATCTGCGACGCTGGAGGTGAATTTCACCTCCATCGCGCAGATGGAGAAATGCTTTCCTATGGACACTTTGAAAGCGTGCGAGGCACTTGACGCGCGTGCGCATTCGGCTCCAGTGACGTCGGATGGGGAGGAGAGGTCAACAGCGCCGAGAGAGGTAAGTGGCTCAAGGGGTTTTAACCCCTTCAGCGCCACGGAAGGGGGACCGAGGGCAATATAGTGTCAGGAAAACTGCTTTGTTTTCCTGACACTATAGTGATCCTTTAACTATGTAGTTGTGCAAGAATCTCATATGTGTCAATACAGTTGCTAGCTTTGCTCTTTGTGGCAAAACCATTCTGTTTAACAGACACTAGTATTCATTGTAGTATTTCAATTTGGAAAAACAATACACAGTTTTAAAATGTTTAGGCCTTTTGCCCTGTAGTTTACTACATTATTTACTTGAAATTCTTTCAGTGTTCTTCACAATGACAGGCTAGATGGCACATGCAATCTGCAACCTTAGAAGCTGCCATTGCAATGCAACACTCAGATTCTAATTTACATTTTGTGCACCTCTTCTCTTGTTCATATACTTAAAATGTACTATAGAACTCTTACATTGCGCTAAATCTTTTCAATTTTTCCATCTGTGCATGAAAACAGACACGTTACACAATATTGACATTTTATTTCATAGCAAACATAATATTTGTTCTCCATAGTTGTTAAACTAAAGACAAACCTAACAATTATGTTCCCCCAATTGTTACGGGTATGCACATCCCATCATCCTAACATCACAATAGCAACACAAGTATGTGGTTGATTAAATTGCAGGGTACCTTTCGCTTATCACTGACTTGGCTAAACCTGGAAGAGGATTAAACCGATACAAGTTGGCAAAGTCATTATTGGCTATATATAGACCAACACCACATGTAATGTTGCAGCTGCTCAGTCTTCCTATAAAGGGAAAGCATGGAAAATGCCACTAATTACTATGAAACACACAAAACTGTTTAATACTTGTAAGGCATACAAAGTCATCTCAAGTTCTATAGAGCAGCTCAATTATATTACAAATTGTTCAAAATGACCTGCATGAAACAAACAGATAAACATCCTGAGAAACTACACTGAATACACGTTTATATTGAGACCTCTTCAGTAAAACAGTGCAATAGGTTTACGAGGCATTGTTAAAAGGAAGCACTTGAAACATGTAAAGGGTCACTCCAATGACCATAACCACTACAGCTTATTAATAGGTTAAGATGGGATGACTGTATGGGCGCAGACCCTGCAATTATTTGCAAATCTGGCAGGATGTAGCAGCACCCTTAAAAAACTCTTTTGGCATTGAAGAAGCGGCAGGCTGGGGGTTTAGACATTTAAAGTAATGTGGCAAAAACAAAAAGCAAGTAGTTATGGTGCGTGGAATGTTCCATTCATTTACAAAGTCTAATAAAGAATGTTGCGAGTCTGTTCTGGTGAATAAATGCCCACTTTTAGGAGTGATGAGAATGTCTGAGAGGTTACTGGGAATAAAACATCCCATATCTGGAAAATGAGATGAGTCGGCAGTAAACAAATATTTGTGTTTTTAATCTCTACGCGGATAGGAAAAAAAAAATAAAAAAATTAGAATAAAATACAACTTTAAGAAAACCACTAGTGATCATTCCACTCTCTCTCTTTGATACAAGAACCAATTTGCAATATTTTTTTGTAAGGTGTTATGTAATATGCTGCATTCCAGTCTAACACATTAATCAATTTCCCTAAAGTCTATATGTTTTTCTATCTTTTACAGTTTACAAAAGTGTAAACGGACACTAAATAGACGAGGACAACGTTTTTCTTTCTACCTCCCTTTTAAGACCAAGGGTTATCTAATTCTTTGGTTTATTAGAGATCTGTTCACTTAACAGCAAGTTTTTATAGTAAACTAACTTGCAAAACCTATATTACAACAGCCTAGTTGGCTGAAATGTTCGACTCCATAATTTGGAAAGTTTGTTTGCCTAAGCTATTTCGGCCTAAATTTTGGAAGCATATACCCCATACCCTCTAAAAATTACATGAAACTTTTTATAATGGAATTTTAACATAACATTGTGGGGTGTATTCACTAAACAGTGGTTAAAATGAAAAAACATTAAGATTAAAAATGTTGCAAAAATTCTCAGAATCAACTCTTTATTCCTAAATTTAGCAACACAGCCCAATGTACCAGGATCCACTGATTAATGAATACAAACTGCAATGTTCCAGAAATTAATTTAAACCATGTTTAACACATGTGTAACTTGTGTTGTAAAATCTTCACTCAGTTTTTCGTTGTAGTTTATTTTTTTCTGGCTGGAAGAAATATTCTTCAATGGCAGCAACAAGGTCATCCAATTCCTTCTTCAGCTGATCCAAGTCACTAGAAAGAAAGTAATGGATGTTATATATAAAAAGTCAGAGAGATGTGCAGCATATGTTAACATTGGGAAAGCCTATTGGAAAACCTGTAAACAAAAAGATTTTACTCATAAAGTGGCTCTGCCCCTCCATGTCTATGAAGGATACCACATGCATGCATGCATAAGAGTATAGCACTAATGAGGCCTCCTGGTGTTTCATCAGACGCACCCTACAGAAGAAGATTATGACGGCCACGAGATACAGGTGCAGGTAATTAAAATTCACTTTTTCATTCACCCTGCGGCCTCCTCACTTGAAGCAGTTAAATCACCATCTGGGGTTCTTACAAAATATGGAAGCCCCCCAGAAAGTGACAGAGCCACTTTGAGGACAAAGCAAACAAATATAAGATATAACTGGCTCCCAGTAAAGGACTTGCAACAAAGATACAGTGTTAAAGTAAGTTGACAAGCTTCCTTTAAATGAATGTTTCCTACTTTCTGATTTGGCAAGGCAGATGTGAATGCGAACATGCTTTATGCAGTCCACAATCACTCTACGATGGTTTTATTTATCTTGTGTTCCCCTAATTATACATTGAGATTTCAGTGTGTTTAAAAATACAATGTTATCTATTTGTAAAACAAATATATGAAATAGAAATGAGTAATTGTTACAGCTGTTCTGTAAAACGATAAAGTCCTATTACAGTAAGAACAGTGTAAATAGAGTGTTTATCTTTACAGATTCATGTTCTTTTACGCTCTCCGCTGCCCAACAGCTTACTGGCCTGGATGAGGCATTACTGTACACCCAATGCAGTTTGCACCTATGATGAGGTAGATCAGTAGTAATGTTGCCAACACAAGGAAAGCCTTTCATTATTCTAAGAACTCTGTAATAGTAAATGCCTCCTATACAGTACAAACATCAGGTTTCACTGTGGTTTGACTGCAAAGAGGCAGGCATTTATATGTGTTTTTTAAATCCCAACATGGGTTATTTCCTGGTTCACAGACACTAATTATGCATTCATATGGGACATGTGTGCTCTTAATTACAGTGGAAGGTAAATCCACAATTGAGTGAAGGAACTAGATCCCTTTGAAGGACAAGCATACTGTCCAGAAAATAGTATTAAACAAAAACACAACATATGAAACGCGCATCATTTGGTTGCCTTTTGGCATGGCTATAAGCAGGTGCAATGTTGTGGGTAACACATTAAACCTGTCTGGAGTGGATAAAACCATCTGGGGACACAGAATATACAAAGGTATTTCTGTTTGTTTGTTTTTCAGAAATGGTTCATTTGCTATAGAACTTGTATACAATGTGTAGAATTAGACACATGCCTAGTTATCTCTGTTTAATGGCATGAAAAGTTAAACAAAATGTGTCAAAAGATAATTTAGAGTATGTGAAATCATGAAAATCTTTAACCATGGCTCTACCACACCATGGCACTGCAAATGTTTCCCATTTAAATGTACCCATTTAGGTCCCCCAGACTTTTGGGCTTACTGAGCAACCCAGGAAATGTACTTGGCAAACATCAGGGGAGCCACGTTTAGTGTGAGAATCACAGGGAGTTTAGATAAAAACCACTTGGAGTTATTAGACTAGCCTTCGCTGCTTTAACACAACAAAGCGCAATATAATTTTATTTTCAATGTACATATTAAAGTCATTAAATAGCAGATCAAATGCACTTTTCTTACCTATTTCCTGGGGCAGCACAGAGTTCTGTATAATATTTAATTTTTGGTTCTGTCCCACTGGTTCTCATGGTGGCTACTCCTCCGTTAGCAAAGGTAAAAGTGATCATTTGGCTGCTCTTACTGGTTGGCAGAATCTGCATGGAAGACAAACAAACCATCCTCATCCACTGCAAGATTACAAATGTCAGCCACAATCACCAGTCATGCAACTTGGGAATTGTCAGATAACTATCATGTACATGCTATATGAAAATAAAGACATTATTTACAGAAATATTAGCTAAAAGGAGACGTGAAACATTCTCAGAGAATCTTGAATGTTTCTTTTAGGAAAAATACTAATAAAAATAATCACATTAACAGAGTCTGCATACTGGAACAGGGAAGTGTACAGCACAGAGGCGATAAATGGCTGCTCAAAGAACGATCAGTAGTGATGTCCCAAACGGTTCGCCGAACGGTTTGCCGCGGACTCATCATTGAGTAAACTTTGACCCTGTACCTCACAGTCAGCAAACACATTCCAGCCAATCAGCAGCAGACCCTCCCTCCTCCTGGACAGCTCACTAAGAATGCAGCTTCAAAATGGATGCTGTCCAGGAGGTGGGAGGGTCTGGGAGGGAGGGTCTGCTGCTGATTGGCTGGAATGTGTCTGCTGACTGTGAGGTACAGGGTCAAAGTTTCAATGATGAGTCCGCGGCGAACCGTTCGGCGAACCCTTCGGGACATCACGAACGCTCAGTATTCACTTGTAGGACAGAAATCAAAGGACTTCTGAAAAATGTTTTTGTTAGAAACAGGAGTCCGAAGTTCTAATATTTTGAAGCCTCTAGTGTAAAAAAAACCCAACAGAATATCTAAAGAGCAAAATATTAAAGAATAAGCTCTACTTTTTCTTGTTAAAGGGAAACTCCAAGCTCCATCACAACCAAGGATGTTTACAGTAGTCATGGTGCATTTAGCTCACTGCCATTAAGATGCAGTTATGTGCTATTCCTATCTTATCAGCTGAGATATAATAAGCAAAATCAATGCTATCCCTTGGACATGCAAGATCACACACAAGGTTTATTCCATACAACTCCAATGTAACTTGTATAGGCTCTCTATTTACAAACAAAACTATCTGTGTGTTTATTAATGGAGATTTAGGTAAAAGTAAAACTGTTGACACTGTTCTGGAGACACTGCGCACAAAGAAAAATATCATACAAAACACAATAAGTATTACTAAAATGGCACAATACCCGCTTAACAATGCACAAAGTGAGAAACACAGAATGATAGCAATGCAGCACAGTGACATTTGTAGAGATGTTATGGCTACATGGAATAGCCAATATTGCAGAGATGATGGAGACAAATGTTGGCAGGGTACAGAAAAACGTTCAGAATGATGATGGTTTTAGATAGGAAATGTAAAAAAACGGGGTAAGCTCACTGAATTTCA